GGCTCGCGCGCTCGCCGGCGGAGCTTTGGAACGACATTTTAGTCTACCTCGTAGTCCAGAAGCTCGACGCGGCATCACGAAAGGCGTGGAGACTGAAAACGGCGGATCAGGACGACCTTCCGTCCTTTTCCGAATTGGAGAAATTTCTCGCTAGCCGATCGCGCGTTCTCGACGATGTATCTGGTGTCTCCGTCGCGCGGGCTGGAGATCGGCGTGCATCGTCTACTAGAATTTCTGTCGCGACCGCGTCAACGTCATCGGGATCAATCTGTCCGCTCTGTAAAGCGCACCATTATTTTAGTTCGTGTCCGATATTTGAAAGGGCGAGTCCGGTTCAGCGTCGTAATCTCGTGAAAAAGCACGGGCGTTGCTTTAACTGTTTAAGTCAACATCACTCAGTTCGATCGTGCTCCAGTAAATACTCATGTCGCTCCTGTCACGAGCGACATCATTCTCTGTTGCACACGAGCTCGCGAGCTGAACCCTCTTTATCAAATGACCCGCCCGGTCAACAAGCGAAAACGCGCGCGGAGAATAAACTCGAGGTGAGCTCGATGTTAGCCTCTCCGATGAGAGCGAAACCATCACGGATTATTTTAGCGACAGCTCGCGTAAGAGTTGGCGTGGTCGAAGGTCGCTCGGTAGAAATACGAGCCTTGTTAGATCAGGGCTCCGAAATGTCCTTTATATCTGAATACCTAGCTCAAGTGTTACGGGTTAAACGCATACGAATGCCGACGTCGGTTTCTGCCGTCGGTTGCGTGGATGCCGGGACCTTCAAGTACGCCGCTCGAATCTGTGTCTCTCATCGCGATGTAAGCTCTCCGACCGTAAACACTACCGCTTTAATTTTAAGTTCTTTAACCGCGTACGCTCCGCAAAGCGATGCGGATATCGCCTCGTTCTCTCATTTGGCGGACCTTGCATTTGCGGATCCGGATCCAACGAGCAAGGAGCCTATTCACCTCATTCTCGGCGCGGATCTGTATGGGGAGGTCATTCTCGGGGGCTTGCGCAAGGGTTCACTCGGCGAGCCTATCGCGCAAGATTCAATATTCGGATGGGTCATATCGGGACCACTCTCTCCATCCTCTCCCGCGTCACCTCCTTCACCTCCGCCTCCTGGAGATGCTCGGATGTCGCATCACGTCTCCGTTCATCATTGTCTCAACGCTACATCATTGGAGGACGAAATCAGACGATTTTGGGAAATTGAGGACTTTCCCACGCATTTAATTGCCACGCCTGACGACGAGAAGTGCGAAACGCATTTTCGCTCTACACACACGCGTACGTCAACGGGGCGTTATATCGTCAGGTTGCCGTTTCGCCGTGATCCTCCCATTGAAATCGGGGAGTCTCGCCAACGAGCCGAACAACGGCTGAACGCGCTTTTTCGACGGTTTGGTGCAAATCCGAAGCAGTTCGCTGAATATCAGGCATTTATTCGGGAGTATGAGCGTCTCGGTCATTTGCGTAAACTGCCTGCCGCCGAGGACCGCCCGGATCCGTGTGTCTATCTCCCTCACCATCCCGTTTTCCGTGATTCCAGCAGCACCACACGTCTGCGTGTCGTGTTCGACGCGTCGAGTCTCACGTCGAACGGCTCGAGTCTCAATAATCACCTTTTAACAGGGCCTAAACTTCAAACGGATTTATCCGCCGTGATATTGCGTTGGCGTCAGTTTCGCTTTGTGTATGCAGCCGACATCGCGAAGATGTACAGGCAGATTCTCGTAGACGACCGCGATCTTAATTTTCAAAGAATTTTGTGGCGTGACTCTTCCCGTGAATCCGCGAGCGACTATCAATTACTCACAGTCACTTACGGGATGGCGTGTGCACCCTTTCTCGCGTTACGCGTTATTCAGCAATTAGCTCAGGACGAAGGGGAACGGTATCCCATGGCGGTGCCCATTTTGCAAGAGCATATTTACGTCGACGACGTGCTGTTCGGTCACGACGACTTGAACGCTCTACGTGCCACGCGAGATCAATTAATTTCATTATTACGTTGCGGCGGGTTCGAACTTCGGAAATGGGCAGCCAATTCAGCAGCTCTCCTTTTTGATATTGATGACTCAGAGCACGGAACCGCGTGCGACAAATCCTTGTCTCACTCTGACAATCTCAATATCCTCGGCGTTGAATGGAATCCAGTCCTCGATTCCTTTCAGATTCGGGTGTCCATGTCCGATGACCTTCCCCGCACCAAGCGTTCCATCCTTGCCGCCATCGCTCGATTATACGATCCTCTCGGATGGGTCACCCCCGTGATTCTCTCTGCCAAAGTTTTGATGCAGACACTGTGGAGAGACAGATTTTCATGGGACGAGCCGATTCCGCCCTCGCTATCCTGTCGCTGGCAACAAATCTGCGACGGGATTTCGCGGTTGAGTAACCTGAGACTGCCGCGGTGGTCCGGGTTCACCGCTGATTGTGAGCTCGAGCTCCACGGATTCGCGGATGCCTCAACCGTCGCATATGCTGCCGCCGTGTATTTAAAGGTCGTCGATTCCTCTCAGACCGTCACTATCAGCCTATTACTAGGTAAATCGAGAGTTGCTCCTCTGAAGCCGCTCAGCATACCTCGATTAGAATTGTTGGGCGCGGCGCTGCTCGCTCGGCTCATCAATCTCGTTAAAACGACTCTCGCAATAAACGATCTTCCGTGTTTCTGTTGGTCCGATTCCACGGTCGTACTGGCCTGGCTCCGCCAACATCCTTCCCGGTGGAAGACGTTCGTTGCCAATCGTGTAGCTGACATCCAGCAGCGTCTTCCAGGGACGGAGTGGAGGTACGTCGCGACGGCTGACAACCCTGCGGATTGCGCTTCGCGTGGTCTGTTGGGCGACGATCTCCTTTCCCATCCATTATGGTGGCACGGGCCTAGTTGGTTGGCATCTCCGAGCAACCAATGGCCGCGTTCCATGGCGTTGCCTCCGGATTCGGCTTCTCTCGAAACAAACGTGCACTCATTCTCCTCCTCAACGGCTCCGCCGTCCTCTGACGACTGGGACTTGAGGGAGAAATATTCCTCATGGCCGAAGCTCCTCCGCGTGACTTCGTACGTCCTTCGTTTTATAGCGCGGTGTCGAAGGCCCGCTCAACAGACTGAAGTCGCAGATCAAATCCAGCCTTTCTTATCCGCACGGGAGTTCGAAGCCGCTCGGATATTTTGGCTCCGACGGATTCAGCACGAGCTTTTCGCTGCGGAGATCCGCGATCTGGAGCAGCAGCGCCGATTGTCACGAAAGAGTTCCATTCTCTCTCTCGCACCGTTTCTTGATCGCGACGGGTTGCTGCGAGTTGGCGGGCGGCTTCAGCGCGCCTGTTTCCCATCGATCTCTCGACATCCGATCCTGCTAGCCGATCATCCTCTCGTAAAGTTAATCGTCAAACAAACTCATTTGCGAGGATTGCATGCCGGCTTGCAACTTACTTTGTCCATTTTGCGACGGGAATTCTGGGTCCTTCGCGCGCGGACCATCGCTAAGGCCATCATACACAAGTGCATCGCATGCACACGCGAACGAGCCACTGTTCCGACTCAGCTTATGGGAAGCCTCCCCGCAATACGTGTGACGGCCCCTCCTCGCAGTTTTACTCACTGCGGCCTTGACTACGCCGGGCCCGTCTCTGTTCGCGCCTCCGCGGGACGCGGGATCACTTCGCGAAAGGCCTACATAGCTCTATTCGTTTGCTTGTCGTCACGCGCTATTCATTTGGAGCTTGTCTCCGATTATTCGTCTCACGCGTTCCTCAACGCCTATACGCGGTTCTGCGCTCGTCGCGGGCTTCCACGATCCATTTATTCGGACAATGGTACAACCTTTGTCGGGGCTTCTCGCGAACTTCGAGCCGCGTACCGCTCCGCCGTTCAAGATCCAAACTTTCAGAATCGCGTCGCATCGGATGAGGTGAATTGGCAATTCATTCCGCCGTCCGCTCCGCATTTCGGTGGGATGTGGGAGGCCGGTGTTAAAAGTGTTAAACACCACTTGCGGCGGGTGCTCGGTACGCACACATTAACATTCGAAGAGTTTACCACGCTCTTGTGTAAAATTGAAGCTTGCTTGAAT